GTTCTGTACCCACTGGGGACCACCTATACCCTGAGTAGGGATAGACACTGGATAGTACCCTTGAGGATAGGCAGGTAGAAATTCAGCCACAGAAGGAAGTACCTCTGTCTCGTCTGTAGAAAACCTCAGGAAGTTTACTGGAGCGCTTGAGGTAGAAGAACCCAGCCACAGAGAGGATGAGGCCTGTGCTGATGAAGAGTGTCCCCAGGAAGAGAGAAGCAGCCACATGAGGACCCCCTGCAGGCAAACCAACAGCTGCCAGGAGAGCCTGGGTCTTGGGGGAAAGATGTCCAGTGCTTCCTGATTAACTACTGGGGTCCACCACTCCCCAAACATACCTCAGCCCCTACTAGGCACTAGCCACATGTCAGAGCGAGGGCTCTACACTCAGGCTCCTCCACAAGTCCAACACACCTAGCCACAAGACAAGAGACATCACACTGCCCACTATCTCCTGGCCCAGGCTAATTCCAGGCTTCAGAAGTATCAGGCCCTGGGCTCTCTCCATTAGAATGGCCTCAGCTTCTTGGAGTGAGAATCAAGCCTCCAGCCTTGGCAGCAGGTACTTCTACTGTATCTCACTTCTGATACATGCATTGCCTCTTGCTCTGCTCCATTTGTTTGGGGTCAGAACATGCTAGGGGGTTGGTAGTTTCTTACCAAGATTCCATGAACCATGCTCTGTCTCATTGGCACTATGCAATAGATGTGGCTAAGGTCCTGTTTATACTAACCCTACCCTAAACACCATTGTTCTGTGTAACTGACTTCTACTGTTGAGGATAGCACCTTTAAGACCCATTGGAAGGACTGAGCCCTCTCAGAATAGGACTCCAAGCCTAGGACTCAGCACTGTTGAAGGATGAAGGTCAGGGTGATGTGTTCCTAAAGTGACTGGGTCACCTCAGAAGAAACAGTCTTGTACTGGAGCTTGGTCCAGCTCCTTAACCTATGGGGCTCCTCTACTAGCACCACCCCAGTCCTCTCCCTCGCTTGCCTGGCCATACTGCTACCCCAGACGTATTCTTCCACTCTTTACTCCCCAGGCCTTCATTTAAGGTGGGCTTGAAGACTCTGGAGATACAGACACCAGGTAGATAGGGGCTGTCCCTTCCTTGAAAACAGATCAGGAAGTATGGCCCATGTGTTTGCAGTCTCATTAGCAGCCTACATCCTATAAGGGCAAGTTGGGATGGGGCAATGCAATCCCCAAGGCCTGGGGGTCAGAGTGGACATGGAATGAGGCAAAGGCTAAGCATAAGTGGGTAGCAGTGAGGGCTACTATTAACTGAAGCTAAAAAGGAGACCATGAAGTATCTTCCTCTTATGGTACCCCAACATATGACCACACTCAAGCCAACTGACCCTAGGCCCAGAGGATGCTGGACTCTCTCCAGAACTTTTCCTTGACCACAGCTCCATGCAAAAATTACTTTACCATGGATATGTCTGCTGTGGGCTTAGTGGTTCAGGATTGGCACTGGTACCAATATCAGCTCTGACGATGAGCCCCAGCCCCAGCCCCAGATCCTAAGCAGAAGCACAGTTCTGGACTTATAAACTAAGAGACTTACCAAAATGTGGCTGTCCAGGAGTCCCTGTGCTTCTGTTCATGGGAAACTGCATGCCCCGGCCAGTGACTATGGGAGAGCAGAATTGAGGGGAGGCCTGGGCCATGTCCAGGACCCTACTGAGGCCTCCACATATGATCCTAAGGGACATCTCAGTTTAGAGGTGAGAAAGCAAGGAGCAATTCTCACCCACAGCTGTCCTTAGTGAACAGAATACTCAGGGAGGAATTCAAGGGGTTGCTCACTGATAACATGGGTACTACCATTGGAGAGGACAAGTACAATGGTTCCCTTAGTTTCTCCCCAAATTGGACATGAGGACCCTTGTCAAATATGGGGAAGCTGGGGTAAGTAACTTGGAGAAGACATACGAATTCTGCACTCAGAGCCATTGTATGTCGGGAAGGTCCCATTCCAGCACCGGACACAGCTAGCACTCCCATCTGCATTCCAGTGCCTGTAGCAACCTGCACCAGGAGGAGATAGGGTTTTTCAGCCAAAGTAAGTCAAGGTCATCTCACTGTCTTCTGCAAGCTTTTCTGTATTATGAATTGGTAATTTTCAACTCAGGAACATTAACATGATGTGGAAAACTATGGGCACAGGCTCCAATTCCAGAAAAAGAAATAGGAAGCATAGAGCTCTCAACCAAGTTCCTGTGGATGTCTATCACTAAGGCAGTTGTTTCTTTTACTGGGTGCCTCAGGAGACTATTCAAAAGTGCTTAGGACAGAAAACTAAAAGTAATAGGTACCATGTGAAGGTCTAGCCTTATTCACCAGAACCTCTTCCTCCAGGATATAAGGTAGTTGCCTACATACAACAGTATACCCTCACTTGGGCCTCGACTTTGGGGCAGGTGCATATAGGTCTGTTTGTTGTCCCTGTGTCATTTTCCAGTGTCTCTGCAGCAGGATCAAGCCAAATTTCTATACAAGATTGGCACTGACCAAAGCCACACCTTCATTCTGGGAGTGATCCATGCTGTATTGGCTAGTGATTTGTGGACAGCTGTTTCCCCTCTGGTCAGGGCATCCTGAAGGCCATCTTATACCTTTACTTCTAACATCCCCAACACAGATGTGTCCCATAAATGTTGGTGGGGTACTAAAAGCCAAGGCCGGATATTGGGCAGTATGTAGAGCTAAACCATGGGTCACTGGACCTTAATAATGAAGATTATAATGTCTGATCTGAACAGATGGGTTGTGGTGAGACAGAAGCCTTTCTGTGGTGGCAGAGATAGTAGCGACAGCAATGGACAAGTGGCCTAAGAGGTACATCAGCCCATTCCAGTTCTTCCAATGCTGTGGACAAACAACCACACAGGAACAAAATCCAAATGCTCAGTTCTACTTGGGTGAAGATTCCTGTTCAAACATGGAATAAGATGAGGAAAAGGTCTCCTGTAGTAGCCTAACTTTATCCCTCTTATCAATTCAAGGCATGAATAGATCTCATGAGAGGCGTATGTGTCTACTAAAGGCAAGATCAAGGAACACGGGGTACTCAGTACAAATCTAGCAAAAAGAGTGAGAGTCTCAGCAAGTGTGCCTTCAATCCCAGACCCTAGGAGACAACGGCAGGTGAATTTCTAGGAAATCCAGGACAGCCAGAGCTACATACTGAGAATTTGTCTCAAAAACCAAAACAAGCCAGGCAGTGGTGGCACACACTTTTAATCCCAACACTTGGGAGGCAAAGGTAGGCAGATATCTGTGAGTTTGAGACCAGCCTGGTCTACAAGAGCTAGTTCCAGGACAGCCTCCAAAGTCACACAGAAACTCTGTCTCGAAAAACCAAAAAAACAAAAAAACAAACAAACAAAAAAAAGAGTTCAAGGCCATCCTGGTCTACAAGAGCTAGTTCCAGGACAGGCTCCAAAGCTACACAGGGAAACCCTGTCTCAACCCCCCCCCAAAACAAACAAACAAGAAAAAAAAAAACAAAAAAAGGAATGAGATTCTCCCCAGAATCATCCCTTTTACTAACTTCCTGTATTGAGATGCAACTATCACAGGCTGCTGCTGAGTTGCTAGATTATAATGCAGGAAAGGAGGTAGCCAGAGAAACAGGCACGGGGCTCCATGTCTCCCTACACAAACTTGGTTATCTCCAGAGCTACCTTGGACTTTAGATTCTGACTTTGCATCCATCCTTATTCCAGGCCCTCTGTGGCAAGCATTACCTTAGCCTAGTAGCCTGCACCCACTGAGCCATCTTTGGACAGTTTGTAGCCCCATGAGATGCCAGGTCCCGGGCATTCCTGTTAATGTGAAGGAATCCAGAAAAGTTCAACTTCCAGAATTGTAGGTTAGAAGGCCAATGAAGGCTCTTTGGCATCTGTGGTGGTTTGAAAGAAAATGACTCCCATAGAAAAAGACACTATTAGGAGGTGTGGCTTCGTTGGAGTAGATGTGTTGGAGAAAGTGTATCATTATAGGGGTGGGCTTTGAGGTCTCTTATAGTCAAGCTACCCTCAGTGTGGCACACAGTTCACTTCCTACTGCCTGCAGATTAAGATTTAGAACTCTCAGCAACTTCTCCAGCACCATGTCTGTCTGCATGCCACCATGTCCCACCACAATCATAATGAACTAAACCTCTGAAACTTTAAGCAGACCCAATTAAATGTTTTCCTTTATAAGAGTTGCCATGGTTATGGTGTCTCTTCACATATTAGAAACCCTAAGACAGCATACTCATATTTTCTCTGCTCATTGTAAAACAATGCCCTCTTCCCCTTGTCACTACACTCATACTTGATCTCCACCTCCCTTCCAGCCTCAACATTTTGTCATGTCCTCCTCCCATGGCACCTGATCAATGTTTTGGGTGCCTGCTTTCCTGAGCAATCTGTCTGGGTTCTTGTAGTCTTGAGTGTAATGGAACTCAGGACAGGTTAGGACAGCTCTGGGCCAGTCTAGTCTAAAACTAACAGCAGCCCAGAGTCACCATCCTCAAGACTGACCACCTTTTTTTTGGGGGGGGGTTTTCGAGACAGGGTTTCTCTGTATTGTTTTGGAGGGACTGACCACATTTTTATCACAATTTTATCACATGCACACCTACAGGCAAACACTCACACATAAAAATAAATAAATCTTTAAAAAAAGGGGGTACTCCAAGAGCTGTTAAGTTCCTGGAAGTGCTATCCTGGCTTAGTCACTTTCTGAACCCTGTACCTCCTCCTCCTCTATCTGTGCCTCAACCCTTTACTGAAAACAGTCCCCCATAGGTTACTGCCTGGACCAGACAAGGGTTGCTTAAGAAGGAAACATAGATAGGCCTCCTTTGTACAATGTCACAGCCTGTGCTGCCCCAAGTTCCTCCATCCCCTCAGCTGTCTTGTCACTGAGGAATGAGACATCTAGGAATGCTGGTAGGATGGTGACTAGTCTGCTTTCTACTTGCAACAATGACACTTACCTGGGCCACATAGGCCTGTGCCTGGGCAGGTAGCATTGAAGTCTGCCACATCCATACAACACTCACGTTGCTGGGCCTAGAAGAGAAACATCAGTGAGAAAGATTGGTAAGTGCTTAGTTCATGCCAAGGAGAGCATTGATAACAGGATTTTATCTTTCTTATTACCCGTAACTTCCAAACTCTCTAGTGATGGGGGAGGTCCTTCTGTATGCTGTAAATATATGTTTCTCTTATTGGCTGATGAATAAAGCTGTTTCAGCTAAAGGACAGGCAGGATGTACCCAGGTAGGAAGGATAGGCGGGGCTACCAGACTAGGAGAAGGCTGGGAGGAGGAAAGCAGAGGTGCCTCAAGGGAGATACCATGTAGCTACCAGGAAGATAGGACACTGGACATTCTCCAGTAAGCCAAGACTATGTAGAGATACTTAGATTAATAGAAATGGGCTACTAATTAAGAAAGAGCTAGCCAATTAAGAAGCCTGAGCCATCAGCCAAACAGTTTATAATTAATATAAGTCTCTATGTTTATTTGGGACTAAATAGCTTTGGGATCTGGCTAGAAACTCTGTCTTCATTCTAGGGTCAAGTGGCATCCCTTCAATAATTGAGTATTCCTACTCTACTCCTACTGCAGCCCATCTTGGCAGAGCAAAGGGAAAACTCCAGTCCTAGACATAGAGACCAAACCAGAAAGTTACTAGTACAAACAAAGTTGGGGCTATCTCCCTTGGGGATATTTCTATAAGCACCTGGACTACACTCCTGTCACATCACATAAGTCACTATCCAACAGGTCGTCCCACTGGCTCCAAGTCTAGACTATGCAGAGCCTGTGGCAGTAAATACTTGATGACTGAATAAGCTACCAAGTATAAAGCTAGACTCTGGCTATGTATGTCCAACACCAGCTACCCAGTCCTACCCAAAGGCCAGGAAGGGTAAGACCTAATGAATTTGCCTAGGGCCTGGGCCTTGAACAGCCTGGAATGGTATGGCACAGAACAAAGTACCCTAAAATAGAATACTTTTGACAGTGGAGAGAGCTCAGGAAGCCTCTGACTATCTCCTGCCCTTTACCTTCAAGGAAATGCTAAGGCCCTTAGAGAATAGTGCCCTCCCTATATTGAAAGGGTAGGTTCTTTTTTTTTTTTTTTGATTTATTTATTTATGATGTATACAGTGTTCTGTCTGCATGCATGCCTGCAGGCCAGACAATGGCATCAGATCTCATTATAGACAGTTGTGAGCCGCCATGTGAGTGGTGAGTGCTGGGATATGAACCCGGGTCCTCTGGAAGAGCAGCCAGTGCTCTTAACCACTGAGCCATCTCTCCAGACCCGAAAGGGTAGGTTCTTGTCTCTGAAGCCATAGGGACAAGAATCTGAACACCAGCCTGGTTAGGTCCCTATTTAATGACCATCAGATCACACCCTCTGTCCAATCACACTTCCTTAGAAATATCCCACTTCCCCAAACCTTAACATAAACACACAGGTGCTCTTATTTCATTATAGAAGCACTCAAGAATTGTAAAACTTATATTAAGTTTGCTTTTTACCTATTTTTAATTTCTAAATTTTATCTATTATTATTTTTGCTTTACTTTGAGACAGGGGTTCATTATGTAGCTTCAGTTGGCCTGAAACTTATTGTGTAGGCCAGGATGGCCTCAAACTCATAGAGATCTACTTGCCTCTGCCTACATTGCTAGGATTAAAGCATGTGCTATAACATTCAGCTGTTTAAATTTATTATTATTATTATTATTATTGTGTGTATATATAGTATGGGCATGTACACAGAGGTCAAAGGACAACTTTTGGGAGTCCTTCAACTGTGGGTTCCAGGAACTAAACTCAGAGTCATCAAGCTTGGCAGAATGTGGTGCCCTTACCTGATGAGTCATCTTGTTGACCCTGTTTATGTTTGTATTTAAGACAGGGTTCCTTCCAGGTTGTGGCACATGCCTTTAGATCCCAGCACTTTGGATCTCTGAGTTTGAGGCTGGCCTGGTCTACAAAGCAAGTTCTAGGACAGACAGAGAAACCCTATTTCAAAACAAAACAAAGTATCCATTATATAGGCCAGGCTGGCCTTAAACTCTCAATCCTGCCTGGGGGGGGGGGGGGGGGTGGCACATGCCTTTAATCCCAGCACTTGGAAGGCAGAGGCAGGCAGATCTCTTGAGTTTGAGGCCAGTATGGTCTACAGAATGAGTTCCAGAACAGCCAAGGCTACACAGAGAAACCTTGTCTTGAAAAAAAAAAAACAAAACCCCCTTACTATTCTACTGCCTCAGTCTCTTGTGGGATAGGACAAGTTTGAGGTTTTTCTTGTGCTCTGAGCCTAGTTAATAGTAAGGAGTGTCTAAAGGATAACAGGGATACAGGGGAATATCATAACTGAAAGGATTCAGGCATTATGCTGGCCTACCCCTGTTAACTGACAGGATGCACTCAGGCAGTACTCTGGTCTATTTCAAATTAACATAATATTTATACCACCCAGTCCTTCCTGTAAGCTGTTTACAAAGGTAAAGCTTCTATTATAAAAAGGGGATTTTTCTCTACTTTTTTGTCCTTTACAGGTGTAAATCTAACCTACTAAGTTAAAACCAGTTACAGTCAGGCTAGAGGGCTCTAACTAAAACATCCCTCCACAGCCTCTCAGCTTCAATCTAGTTCTCCAGACAGATCCTACATTAATCTGTAGCCACCTATGTGCTTAATGCAAGTAACTAAAGACAAATTTTGTTTACTGAGATATACTAAACAGACAGACAGCCCTCAAATGCTCAGAGATCTAGAGAATATGGCATTAAATGTTTCATTAAAAAGCTTTTTTAACAGAGAGGCAGTCCAGCTGGTGGGCACAGAAGAAACTCTACCCACAAAAGTGGCAATGCTAGTCACTGAGCAACGCTGCCTTTCACCTCAACTGCTGCAAAGGACTCTTCCGACCATGGACAAGAGGACAGTGGAATTGACTTTCTCCATGTTGCTTGGGCCAACGGTAGGAAAGACTTCCTAAAGTTCCTAACCTACAGGTCCCACTCTATCAGCAAAAGGCCTTAAAGCTGCTGCCCTCAGTTATGAAGGACCTTGGGGGTGGCTGTACATGCAGCCAGGTAGTAAGTCTCTGTAAGTCTCTGTTATTCTTTAATCATTAACTCAGGTAAAATTTTATCCTTCTCAAGAACTCTGATGCTTCTGACGACTGGTAGCTTCGTCGTCTTAAAGCAACAGCCAACGCTACAACTGTCACAAAACAGATTTCAGGAACAGGTATTTTAGGGTTTATCTCTATGAAGACGGTAATGTAAGGTATATGAATTAAAGCTATAAAGGTCTGAGGATAGGTCTAAGATGGTAATATAAGGTGTATGAATTAAAGTTATAAGGTCAAACGTGTTCCAGATTTCTCTCTTTCTCATTATGCTACTGTTCATAGTCTTAACATTAATCAAAAAGTTCTGATAAGCTGCTAATCCAACTTCAACAGAGCACTAAACAACATACTATATCACTATACAATAACTGCAAGGTCAAAATTAAGGTGCTTTTCACTTTCTTAAAAATATCTGTCAGTTTTAAAAATGTTAATACTTTCAGTCAAGTCGCTTCTAACATAAATATGCTGCTAATGTGTCTAATACTTATGTTTCCACAAACTCAAGGATTTTTATAAGTTCCAGGGAACTGAATTGGACCCACCCAAACAGGTCAGATTCACTCCAGATATTATTCAACCTTTCCCTGGTCCAGGGACTCCCTTCCCTCATCTTGGAACCTCCTGGAGAACTCCTCCCTCATCTTACAATCTTCCCCTCAAGTACCAGGACCCAAGAAAAAAATTTTTTCCTAAACTTAACCTTGTCCTCTGCTCTGCCAACATCTTGCCAGGTCTAAGAGGCGCCAGGGAGTTCCATACAGCCTGGACTGCAATGAAACAATCAGCTACCCCAGGACGTGACAGCATCCCAGCATTCTCAGGTCCCCCCAAAGATGGTCAACGTCCTTCAGGTCAACAGGAAGTAGTCTTGAGAACTCGATTTCCTTATTGCCTAACCTGCCATGCCTAACTCCCTCTCCCTACCCTTTTAATAATAAACAAAGGTAAGAATGAAAGGATTCAAGCATTATGCTGGCCTGCCTCTGTTACCTGGCAGGATTCACTCAGGCAGTACCCTGGTCAGCCCAGGGTTCCATGAGTACTAAGTCTGCATGCAGGTGTAAAGGACCCCTTTAAAAGACAGACCCCGCCCACTTACGCTCTTACCCCCTTCTCTCTTACCTCTCTCTTGTTCTCTCTCTTTTAACCTCTCTCTTGTTCTCTCTCTCTCTCTCTCTCTCTCTCTCTCTCTCTCTTCATCTCTCTTTTCCCTCCTCTCACTCTCCCCCCTTTTTAAATAAATTCCACATGGTTAATGTATTTCCTGGTTCATGTTCCATAGCTCACTCTATCTAATTTAAAGAAAAGGAACAACAATACCACCATGGGAAAGATCAAGGCCCAATGCATAAGCTATCCCTTTCATTACCAAGTTAGTAAGGGATTCCCCATACCATCACCCCCAACCAGTGAGCCCTCCACCCTTCCTGGCTTGAAGAGAATAATGGCGTCTCAATTCCAGATACCAAACTCAGCCCACTGGAGTGTCACTGGCTTTGTTCAACTACTTCTGATGGGAGCCAGGATGCCATGTGTGCCTACCACATCAGTTCTCCCAAGTAATCAACAATTGAGCAGGTAGCTCTGGGGTACAGGCAGTTCTGGAGGGTGGTTCTGCAGAGACTCTAGGCCAACTATAGCATTAAGTAGATCTGGCAGAGAAACTTCTAGAAAGCAGAACTAAACAGGTGATGGGCAAAGTTCAGGCATTCCCAACACTAGTGGTAGACTCTAAGGGGATTATACCAGGGTTAGGCTAACATCAGTGAACTCTAAGTTCAAAGACTGAAATTTTTATGGGGTGAGGATCCATTGCCTCTGAGGAGGGTTCAACTTTTTGCCACTGGGCGCAGGATTACCCACCTTGCTTTCTGTGGACTTGCTTGTGCCTCCCATCAGGAGGCCAGTCAGGAGCATGAGGTACTGCAGTGCCATGCTGGGGAGCTGACAGGGAGATCTGTAAGACAGAACAGTGTGCAGGGAGGAGGTGCTGGTAGAGGGGGGGTAGGGCTAAGAGGGGAATAACTGGGAGGGCAGGACCAAGGCAGAGAGGCTAGGGCTTTAATGGAAAGGATGGGGCAGCCTTTCAGGGAAGCAGTGATGCAATCAAAGCACCCTTACCTGCCCCTCCAGAACGAGAGCTAGACATCCGCTCCCCATTACTTGGGGATCAGCTGTTAGCATGACTAGGGTTGTGAGGAGCTCATCGGCATGTACACTATTGTTTTAAGGTTCCAAACTCAGGAATCAAGGCAGGTGGGCAGAGCCTTGATTGAGAGGGATGACCTGATGCCTCCTTCCAGTAACATCAGGATTCTGAAAGCAAGACCATTGTACATCTGATTTCCCAGGGTGCAGACACACTGCCCTAGTGAAGCCCTAATCACATCTTAAGCACTACTAACAAGATTTATTTTCCTTGTGGGTAGCTAGGGTTTGGGATGGACATGAGTTCATTCGGAATTTTCAGTGATACAGTGTTCTACCTTTCTGAATTTGGGGAAACAAGATGTAAAGCCATGATCCAGTGAAATACCCAAGCTTAAAAATGCATTGTCACAAACCAGGCATGGTGGCACACATCTTTAATCTAAGCACTCAGGAGGTAGAGACAGGTGAATCTCTGAGTTCCAGGACAGCCAGGGGTACATAGAGAAACTGTCTCAAAAAAACCAAAAACCAACCCAACAAAAAAGAGTAGTAACAAGAGGAAGGATCCAGAGAACAAATAGGAGCACAAATATTACAATGAGATTTAAACCTTAGGACACCTGGTCCTTGAAAACTATTGGCTTAGTGCTTATACACCTCATTTTACTCATTTTAATATAATAGAGGAAAACATGCACCTACTACAGAGCCTTGAGGTAATTCGACATGTACAGCTTTATATATATATATCCGAGACAGGGTTTCTTTATGGCTTTGGAGGCTGTCCTGAACTAGCTCTTGTAGACCAGGCTAGTTTTGAACTCACAGAGATCCACCTGCCTTTGCCTCCCAAGTGCTGGGATTAAAGGCATGTGCCACACCACCCAGCAATACTTTTTTTCCTGTTTGGGGGATAAGGGTTTCATGTATGCTGGTTGATTTTGAACTCAATTTGTACCAATACTACTTTTTTTTTACTTTAAAATTTTTTATGTATATGGATGTTTGTTTGTTTATTTGCTAATGGTTTTTCGAGATAGGGTTTCTCTGTGTAACTTTGTAGACCAGGCTGGCCTTAAACTCATGGAGATTTACCTGCCTCTGCCTCCCGAGTGTTGGGATTAAAGGCGTGTGCTACTACTACCTGGCATACATATGGGTGTTTGCATACTATGAGCATGCCTGGCACCTGCAGAGGACAGAAAAGGACATCAGATCTACTGGAACTAGAGTTACAGATTTTAACAGTTACAATTGTGAGTTGCCATGTGGGTGCTGAGAATAGGTCCTCTGGAAGAGCAACCAGTGCTCTTAACTGCTGAGCCATCTCTCCATCTCTCTTGCCTCTACCACCGAGTGCTATGATTACAGATGTGGAATATCAAGCTTGATTTATGAAGGGGTAGGGACCGAACCCAAGGCTTGTGCACACTAGGTAAGCATTCTATCAACTAAGCTACATCCCCATACCTTTTAATTTTTTTCAAAGATTATTTTATTTTATGTATAAGAATGTTATAACAGTATGTATATATATATATATATATATATATATGTGCATCACATGTGTGCTTGGTGCCTGCAGAGGCCAGAAGATGATATCCCTAGGTCTGGAGTTATAGACAACTGTGAGCTGGCATATGATTGCTAAAAACCCAACCTGGGACCTTTGCAAAAACAACTGAGATCCTTACTCTTACCCACTAAGCCACCAATCTAGTCTCCTTCTTCTTGAAATCCTTTTTTACAACAAACTTACATTAACTTATAAAGTGGTACTTATAACCAAAGTCCAAAATAAGAATTTTCTTTTGCCCCAAATGTTACCTTTTTTTTTTGTTTGTTTGTTTGTTTTGAGACAGGGCTTCTCTGTATTGTTTTGGAGGCTGTCCTGGAACTCGCTCTGTAGATCAGGCTGGCCTCAAATTCACAGACTCACAGAGATCCACCTGCCTCTACCTCCCAAGTGCTGGGATTAAAGGCGTGCGCCACCAACACCCGGCAAAATGTTACCTCTTAAAAAACAAAAAAGTTAGCTGAGTGTGGTGTATCTCTGTGAGTTTCAGGCCAATTTGATTTATCTAGTGAGTTCCAGGCCAGCCAGAACTATACAGTGAGACCCTGCATCAAAAAACAAAACCAGGCCTGGAGAGATACTGGCTGCATTTCCAGAGGTCCTGGGTTCTAATTCCTATCACCCACATGGCAGCTGTCTTTAACTCCAATTCCAGGAGATCTAGTATCCTATTCTGGCCTCTGAGGGCACTGAATACATGTGGTGCATAGACATACATTCAGGCAAAACACCCAAACACATAAGATGAAAATAAATCTTTAAATAAGCAACGTTGCCCTTAAGAGACTAAGGATGCGGCTTAGTTGGTAAAGCACTTTCGAGAAAGGCATAACCTGGTATATACCTGTAATCCAAACACTTTGGAGCTGGAGATAAGAGGATCAAAAGTAGTATAGCTATATAGTAAATTCAAGACCAATCTGAGATACCATGAGATCCTGTCTCAAATACTAATAATAGTAATAATAATAATAAAATAAATGTTACCTCTATGAAGACTTTTTACTTAGCAGAGGCCACTGCAGCACTGAAATAGCAGGCAAGCTGGGCATCTCCAGTTCTGGTACAACAGTAGCCTGAGCTTCACTTCTAGGTAGACTCTCTGAGAGAAGACAGAGAAGTTTCAATTTGAGGCTAAAAGTGAAGAACTGAACTCTCTGGTCTAGGGGAAGTAGGAAGTTCCACTTAAAGGTCCTAGAGAAAGGATTGTGTAGGTCTACATGACCCATGGAGGTGAAGGTTCAGGATGGTATAGGCCCCTGTTCCATCAGGAGGAAAAGTGGGAGTCTGTACTATAATACACTTCATCCTGGATTTAAGCCAGGACTACCAGGAAAATGACCACATTGCAGGGGGAAGAGGTAGTGTTCAGGCCTGCAGGAGTCACCTATAAAGTCTTATCCAGAGCCTTTCTGGTATTCATTATTAGTACATACCTTTTCTTTGTTTCAGTAATACATGCTGAGTTTCAAAATACATTCTGTGCTTGACTTAACTTCTCTTTTTAAGGTGTGAAATCTTCTTAGCGCCATATTCATATAGTGTGACTACCCCTCAACCATAGAATGTAATCAAATTTCTGTGAATTTAACATTTGCTCACCAAAGATCATATTTCTCTGTCCTGGAGGAAAACTCCAAGATGTTAAAGACCCTATGCTCACTCTGAGAAGAACATCCCTAGGCCCAGGTCAAGTGAAAAAAAGAAGCCAAAGTCCAGCATTTCAATCAACACTGCCATTTGCTACTTGATCAACTTTACTGAAGTGTAATTTGCACACAATAAACTACATCCTTTTTTTTTTTTTTTTTTTTTTTTGGTTTTTACGAGACAGGGTTTCTCTGTATTGTTTCGGAGGCTATCAGTCCAGCCCGGCCTCGAACTCACAGAGATCCGCCTGCCTCTGCCTCCCGAGTGCTGGGATTAAAGGTGTGCGCCACCACCGCCCGGCAACTACATCCATTTAAATAGACAAGTCAGGGAGTTCTGAAAAACTGTGTATCTATGAGGCCACCATATGGACCCCCCCATCCTCAACCTTCAGCTCCAGGCAACCACACTGGCTTTATCACTGCAAAGTCTATAATTTCATAAAAATAGAACATATAATATAAATGGTTCCTTTCATTAAGCACCAAGGATCTTTAGATGTAGTACATTGTGTGTGTTTTGTCTATTACTATGCTGTTGTTATGTGGCTATACCTCATTTCCTTTATTTATCACCTGCTGACAGGCTCCTAGCTGATTCTACTATTTTGGAAATCATAGGCCTTTGAGTAATGAAGGCCTCTAAGTTCCAACCTCAGTGTCCTCTCAGGGTCCAGGCCAGAGGCTTACAGCAAGCAGGTAGGGCTAACAAAAGATCTGAGGATGAATGAATCAGTTCATACATGTATCACTCTTCTCATAGCTCTTTATTCTTCCCCTAAAGTTCTCTTCAAACATTTCTCTCCAAACGTTCTCTCGCCAAAAGCTCTCTTTAAGATTTCTCCTCAAGTCAGGTGGTGGTGGCGCACACCCTTAGTCCCAGCAGCACTTGGGAGGCAGTGGATCTCTGTGAGTTTGAGACCAGCCTGGTCTACAAGAGCTAGTACCAGGACAAGCTCCAAAGCTACACAGGGAAACCCTGTCTAAAAAAAAAAAGATTTTTCCTCAAAAGTTCTCTCTGATCCCATAAGGCTTCCAGTCTATATACCCAATACAGATACAATTAACAATTCTCTGGTAATAGCAATGATAGTGGGTATACTTATCTCTCAGAGTCAGGAAGACAGATAAGATCTTTGACAAAAGCAGGCCTCTCACATCTCAGAGATGTCCCAGAAAAACTTAAGAGATGGGGAAGGGTTAAACGGAGTAAGAGGCTATGATTACTAAGAAGGGAGAAGGGGAGTTAGTACGTAAGACTACAGCTTGTGGTGTGTAGTAGTTAAGCTAGAAGTTTGTAATTGATAAATATAGAAAAAAGAAGAGGGGAAGAGACACTGTAGCCCTGTGCTTTCTATGCATTGGCTTTTGCTTTCACTGTAGCTGGAAACACGGGAGCCATGGCAATTTGCATAAGCCTGATGGAAAACAGTTTGCACTTTCACCAAATGTTATGTGATTAAAGGGGACTTCTCAGTGCTATATCAAAGGGAAAAGCTAAGGCTATGTAGTGTGAGATCCAGAGGCTGCTCCTTCCAGTCTCCGGAAAAACAGTAGGGTGCTCTTACTTCTGATACTCTGGGCCTATTTGAGAATACAAAACACAGATATAGGTACCAGTAGATGGAATATTTTCACCAGAAAAACACACACAAGCAGTGGGAAACACCCAAAGCTATTCTTAGGGAAGAGATGAAGTGACTCACAAGAGAAAACACAAACAGGAGCAACTGCTCTCTACAGCCTGTGTGCTCCATGGCTTTCCCAGGTGGAGTACCCTATCACTCATGTGATAGGTCAGTCTGTTGAATATGAGCTACCCTGCTGTATTTCTCATGGCCCTTGACACTTGAGCACACACTGTGTAAACCTGTATTTCCATTTCTCATAGGTAAATAACCAAGGAATTTGTATTGGATCAGAGGTATATTTAATCTGTCAAACTTTTTTCCATATAGTGGTACCCCTTTACTTTCCCACCAGCAGAGCAGAAGAGCAAAGGCTTTGCATCCTCACCAATATTTGGTGGGCACAAAGTGGTCCCTGACTAGTAGTAGTTGCCATCTTTTCATGTCATTAGTCACATGTCAAAAGTCACTACTGAAGTGTCTTTTCACATCTTTTACCTATTTTAATTGGATTGTCTTTCAATTAGTAAGAAATGGCAGTTATTTAACATGTACTTATTTACTCACTTAGTGTGTGTTATGCACATAAGTATGATTAGTATACACACAAATGTCAAGAAACACATGCTATAACATGTATGTGTAGGGCAGAGAACAACTGTCAGTTCTCTTATTTCACCATGTGGGTTCCATAGATCAAACTCAGGTTGTCAGCCTTGGCTGTAAATTCCTTTACCCACTGAGCCACCCTACTGGCTCAGCAGTTCTGTACATAATTTTTAAATTTTTAATTATTTTTTTATGTGTACACACACTCAGGCACGCATGGAAGTCAGAAGACAATTTGTGGAGTCAGTTCTCTTCTTTCACTATCTGAGTCCTGAGAACTAAACTCAGCTTTGTGAGGCTTGGTGGCAAGTGCTTTAGCTGCTAAACTATCTCACTGATACCTACATATTCTTTTCTGTTGCATGTGGTGTATATACAAGTTTAGAAGTCTGTATCCCTCTCCACTGTATTTTGTTGTTTTCTGTTGTGCATGTGTATATGTGTGTATGGATTCACTCACCCATGGTACACATACAGAGATGGATGACAGGTGTCTCCTCTATCACTCTTCACCATTTTTGCTTTTGAAACAGGGTCTCTCGATGTAGTTCTGGCTGTCCTGGAACTAGCTATGTATACCAGTTGGCCTCAAACTTACAGAGCTCCTCCTGCCACTGCTTCCCAAGTGCTGGTTTAAAGGTGTGCCACCATACAAGGCCCTCCACTGTATTTTTTCACAGGCACTTTCAGTGAATCCTCATCACTTTTGCCGGATGGCCAGCAAGTCCCTGAGATCTGCCTGTTTCCCTTTACCCACACAAACTGGGATTAGAGTTACATGTCACATCACCTGGTTTTTACAAGGGCGCAGGTTCTCATGCTTACACAGGCACTTAAACCATTTGACCAGTCGCCATCCACTGTATTTTTTGAGACAGGCTCTTTCATTGAGCCTGGAGCTCACTGATTCAGCTCAAGAATCCACCTGTCTCCCTTTCTCACATTTATGTGGGTGCTGTGGATACAAACTCAAATTCTTATGCTTGCTCTGCAGGCACTTTTACCTGAGCTATCTCCCCAGCACCTTTTTGTTTTCTGAATTAGGTCTCTATGAAGTTCAGGCTATATAGACCAGGTTGGCCTTCAACTTCAACTCCCGCCTCTGCCTCCCGAGTGGTAGAATTACAAGCATTTGTTTATTTATCACACCTAGCACTGTGTGTGTGTGTGTGTGTGTGTGTATGTGTGTGTGTGGTCTTATGTATTTCAGGTTGCCCTCAAACTCTTTATGTGGCACACGATAACTTTCAAACTGATTTTATTTTGAGATAGATTCCCATCATTAGGTAGTTACACAAGGACTAATAGTCTTGGAGGCCACTGAGGATAGACCACTCTATTGTGGAATATTTGTTTATACTGTAAAGATGTGTCATTGCCAAGGTGCATTCTGATTGGTTTAATAAAGAGCTGAATGGCCTACAGATAGGCAGGAAGAGGTTAGATGTAACTTCCAGGGACAGAGAGGACTCTGGGAAGAAGAAAGGCAGAGTTGCCAGCCTGATGCACAGGAAAGAAGATGTGTAGGATGAGAGGTAACAGCCACAAACCATGTGGCAGGATGTAGTTGAATAGAAATAGGTTAACTTAAGCTATAAGAACTAGTTATAAACAAGTATAAGCTATAGGCCAAACTTTTCAAAATTAAGTCTGTATCTTTATTTGTAAGCTGGTATCCCAAAGAAAAGTCCAGCTGCACCCTTCCCTCAAGGTTGCTTAGTAGCCACCTCCCATTTCCCTGGTAACACTAGAAAGGAAAATATCTTAACTGTCCCTCCTCAGGCATCCAGGTCAAAAGGATAAAATACATCTGGCCCTGGGCAGTGACATAGCACACTGACATATGCCAAAGGTTAAAATGTCATATACTATTATATTCTCCCTTAAAAGGTAATCTAGGCCAGGTGTAGTGGTTCACACCTTTAATCCTAATATTTGGGAGGCAGAGGCAAGAAGATTTCTGTGAGTTCAAGACTAGCCTGGTCTACACAGTGAGATTCTATCTCAATAAATACATAAATAATTTAGCTGGTGGTTGAAGAACTGAGGATAAGCATGCTCAGCCCTAACAGGATGTCTACTCCAACCCTCCCTTACCCAAGGCTCAGGTAAGATTGTGGAAGAGAGGACAGAAAGAATTTAAAAGCTGGAGGATGAAGAATAATGTTGTAAACTGCTGTCTTCTGGACATGATATAACTATTGCAATGTGAACTTACTGAGATTATGGCTACTTGCACAAGAGCAAGCCAACAACAAGATCAGTTAACATTCCAACAGACAGCAGTAACTGAATTCAGTGAACCCACAAAAATTAAAAATGAAAGTACCAGGAGTGGTAGTACAGGCCTTTAATCCCATTCTGGAGGCAGGGGTAGGTGGATTTCTGAGTTTGAGAATAGCCTAATCTACTCATGGATGACTGGTACCTGCAGAAGGCCAGAGGATGCCAGATTCCCTGGAACTGGAGTTACAGAAGACTGTAGGCACCATGTGGGTGCTGGGAACTTAACCTTGGACTTCTGCAAGAGCAGCAAGTGCTCTTAGTTGCTGAGCCATCTCTCCAGCACAGTTTATTTCTTTGCAATTTATTTTTAATTGTGTAATTATATGATTTATATTTATAAATATAAACACAGGTGCCAGTGGAGGCCAGAAGGAGTTGGGTCCTCTGAAGTTGAAGTTACAGGTGGTTGTGAGCACCTGGAAATGGGCGCTGGAACTAGAACTCACATTTTCTTGCTAAATACTTGCTCTTAACCACTAAGCCATTTCTCTAGCCCCTAAGCAATGCTCATCACCATCATTATTATTTTGGGTTTTAAAGACAAGGTTTTTCTGTATAGCCCTGGCAGTCTTGGGGCTTGGAACTCAAGAGATTTGCCTGCCTTTGCCTCCTGTCTTCTGGGATTAAAGGTATGTGCCACCACTGTTCTTTAAATGAGTCATCTTATAGATCTAAGTTATCTTATAGATCTTATGGAGAACAGATGCAAGCTAGTTCAGAGGTTCTGCGACAGATGCTGCCAGTGGACAAGAGAGCTCACCTAAGATGAACTCAAGCTCATCAAGATATGTGCTTCATTGCATTGGGAAAGACTATTGAGATCAAGATATGTAAGCCAAGAAAAGATACTATCTGCATAATCCAGATCTGTAGTTCCTTCTACAAGGTTTGGGGTCAGTAAAAATAAAAAAGTACTCACATTATTGTGTGACTCTTAATTATAAGTGCACCCACCATCAAACTATTTTTGTGACCTAGATCAACCTGGGGAAGCCAAGCCATGGATTTCTGCAGGATTTATGATAGAGAAAAAGCAGGGGCTGAAAATGAAAAGGGCCTAAATGTTAGAGGCCCTAGATTTAACTCTCCCACCCACACCCCTGGGCCCCACACAAGCACCGCCAAGGGGGTAAAACAGAAATGAAAAAAGACCTCCGTTTTGCCTTCTATGTACACTATAGTAATACTAAGAAACACCAACAAAATTACGGGCCAATAGAAGCAGAATGATCACAAGTTTGAGACTGACAGGGGATACATGGCCAGAATATGTCTCAAAACAACAAAAACAAAAAATACCGGGTCAAGTTTGATACCTTTAACAGACGTACTGAATTGAGAACTCACTAAGAATAGAGTTGTATGGAGAAACTGCAAAGGCCAAAGGCTGAAATGCAGTAGGAAATGTATCACGCTGATAATACTAGTACGCACAGCTAAGTCCTCAAGAAGACCACATCCCGTGGCAGAACCTCGACGGTTTCCTAACACCAACAGACCAACCGAAGTCCCACATCTCCCACGTCCTGCTCCGCTCCAGTGCCCCCTCGTACTGCCTGCGGTCCGTTTCCCCGCTCCACCACCCCTCCTCCATCTGTCCATTAGAGCAACCACCACGCTCCGCTCCCGACTCCTCCCGTACCGCCTCATCACTAACAAAAATGGCAGCGAGACAGGGTGGGCACTGTTCCGCTGGGCCTTGGGCGAGTCCTGGAGTCTGAGCTACCCGGAGTCCCGCGGCCTTTATCGCGTAGTTGCGGCAGCCAGCTCGGTTAGACCAGGGCCCTCACTCACCATACACCAGGCGGGTTCCTCTTTCGTACCCGCCGCCTAGCGAACGCCCCGCGAGCGCCCCCTGGGACTTGTAGTCTCTGGTCCATCCCCGCCAAGGCATCGGCTGGTGTCCCTTTGCACAAAAAACTACAACTCCTAGCGACCCCCTCGCCCAAGTGCGTTTGTCCGGGATTCTTTCCAGGAAGCTGGGTTATGCTCGGAGCACTGATTGGGAAATATATTCTGAGACTTGGACTGGGGGGGGAAGAGAGGGGAAAGGTGGGGGGGGGGGGGAAAGACACCACGACTACATTCCCCAGTGTCCCTAGCGGCGGCCAATCAGTGCCTGGTCTGGCTCTAGGCAGGTTGGGTAGGAGTTGTGACTTCTGAGTGCCCTGGAGGATCTGAGAAGATCTCAGCTCTTCCACTCACAGTCTCGGTAGCTTTTGAAATATTTAACTAGCTCTAGGCTGTGATTGAGATGAAGCAGATGCATTTCAAACTCACTTAAAACATGATTTGATTGATTGGCTAGCCCCATTTCAAAGTAAACACGTAGAGATTTCAAATAAGCTTTTTGTAAAAATCTGGGTTTTCAAGTTTATCTTGGTGCCTGCTTGGAGATTTGGACTCCGATTCCTCCTACGCTGAGCTAAGAATCATGGGACGAGTGAGGTCACCCCATGGAGCGTTTAGGAGTCTGTCTCTGGCCTCCTGGTTTCTCTCAATTTGCAGGCCTCGGGCAGCTGGACTTATTAACGGAAGCTATCCTAAAACTTCTGTGCGCACCACCTTGACACAAGAAGGAGATGTGCTTTTTGCAGTCCATCAAGTTACATTTTCTCTGAATTGGGGTTGGACCACCAGACAGCACCTGGAGAGAGCACAAGGGTGTACACCAGGGCCGTGTTTTGAATAAAGGTTAGAGAGAGTCAGGCTTTGTTCTGTGTCTGCATCGGGACTGGTTTTTCACCATCCTCTGGAGCTGCCTCCAGTACAGTGTCGCTGCCAAACCCTAGCTCTCCATCAGGCTTCCTCACTTCCTAGATGCTGACTGTGACCTCAGTTTCTCTGAACTGGTAGAACCGGTTAGACAACTCAGCGTTCTTTGTGCCACCTTTATTTACTCTTTAACTCTGCTCTAAGACTCAGAGTTAGAATTACTGGCCTTCTTGGCCAGCTGCTGTGACCACTGTGGCACAGGGATTGTAGTAAAATGGGCTGCTTTCTTCCCAGATGAGTGACATCAGGACAGGCAGAATTTTGCTTGTGTTGTTTTTGGACTCTTCCTCTGGGCTACCCCCAGGATCTCTATTATTTCTCACAAATATATATATATTGTTTTTTTGTTTGTTTGTTTTTGAGTTTCTCTGTGGCTTTGGAGGCTGTCCTGGAACTAGCTCTTGTAGACCAGGCTGGTCTCGAACTCACAGAGATCTATCTGCCTGCCTCTGCCTCCCGAGTGCTGGGATTAAAGGTGTGCGCCACCAACGCCGGGCTTCTCACAAATATTTTGAATGGACAGATGTCCCTTAAAGGGGTGTGTGCATGTGTGTGTGTGTGTGTGTTGAGAGACTTGACATCTGTTGAGAGCTGGCTACACCAGTGGGTATGAGGCCCCTAGTATCTGGCAGATTTTCTAATGAAGCAGGAAATTTGAAGATCTGTTTTGTCTTGTACTAGAAAAGTTCATCAGCTGCTTTCTTCTGTGTCCTGCAGAATGCCTGGCAGTTTCCTTTGTGAAGCAGGAACCCTGAAGGGCCAACCCATCCCTTGGCAAGTTCAGCAGTCCTGTGGGTCCTGTATATCCAGTTTATACAGCACATGGTCAAGTAGTCTTGGCAAGAGCAGTTTCTTGCCCAAATGACTAGTATTGTCACATTGAAGGCAAACTCTGTAATGAGTTTCTTCAATGTCCATCATACTCTTTGAAGTAATTGGTGCTGCTAGGAGTAGGTGTGTTCCATTGTCATGAAAAGCCCTAAGTTAACAACCATTTTAAATGTCATATTCTGTAGGTCTTTGAAAAGTTTGAAGAATATCTATCCACATGAAATATATCTCTATATATCTAAAAAACCTAACTCACATGACTACAAGTTTGATTATCATAAATGATTGCCTATTAATTTGTATTTTTAACTATGCATTACATTTTAAATGATCTGTATAAACATAACACCTTAAACAAGAGTAGAAATATACATGTAACAAAATTGGCCTTAAATTTGTGTCAATAAACAATACCAACTTATTCATTTCTACTTCGTATCTCCTTTTTTAAAAAAATCTTTATTTTTATTTTCTGTGTGTTGATGTTCTGCCTGTATATATGCCTGTATGAGGGTATTGGGTCTCCTGGAACTGGAGTTACAGACAGGAGTGAGCTGCCATGTGGGTGCTAGGGAATTGAACCTGGGTCCTATGGAAGAGCAGCCAGTGCTCTTAACCACTGAGCCATCTCTCCAGCCCCCATATCTCCTTTTTTTAAGAGATTGACTATGATCATCAACCACTTGTAATCAACCACATTTAAATGAAAACAAACATTTATAAGCAATCATTTTGGGAATTTGAGTGTAGTTTTTATACTACTTTCTGCTGATTGGGGGTGCTGGTAATCAGATCTTTGATGGGGTATCCTGTGTGGTTGATCCATCTCAGCCAGCAGGTTTTTTTTTTAAAGATATATATATATATATATATATATATATACATATATATATATATATATTACTCTGTCTGCATGTATTCTGAAGAGGGCACCAGATCGCATTACAGATGCTTGTGAGCCATCATGTGGTTACTGGGAATTGAACTCAGAACCCCTGGAAGACCAGCTAGTGTTCTTAACCACTGAGCTATTTCTCCAGTCCTCAGGAGCAGTTTTGGATACTGAACCACCTGGGCCATTGCTTCAAACCACATTAGCCTGGAAGGAATCCCTTGTTTTTTAATCCTCTATGGAAACAAAAGTTGAATCTCTTTTTCAAAGAAACATGTCTTTAGACTTAAATCTCGAAATCAAGATACCTTTAAAATATATATTTTGGTTTAGCTTATCAGCCCATAATGTCTCTCTGTATTTAGTTCATTAACCATCAAAAAATTTAAAGAAAACATTAATACACATAGTCCAGACTTTTTATGTATTTTTATTTTTACATGGCCCATTATATTTTTTTAACATTTTTATTTGTCCTTTAAGGACCTTAGTTTATTGTTTTTTTTGTTTGTTTGTTTTTTGTTTTTTGGGTTTTGTTTGTTTTTTTTGGTATTTCGAGACAGGGTGTCTCTGTATTGTTTTGGAGGCTGTCCTGGAAGTCACTCTGTAGACCAGGCTGGCCTCGAACTCACAGAGATCTGCCTGCCTCTGCCTCCCGAGTGCTGGGATTAAAGGCGTGTACCACCAACTCCCTGCTGTTACTAGTTTTAAACTAACTTTTTGTTACAGATTCTTT